CATGATATTTATCTTGTGCATTGGCATGCAATAGGTGTACCGAAGGAGTGACCTGCTGGAATTCGAGGAACGGAGCGGCGATGCTGTGACCAACACCGGAGGTTCGGGAGGTGCAGACCTTCGAGAAGTGCCGACGAGGTCGCCGTTGAGTGCTTGGATCACCGTCCGTGCAACTTTGTGAAAGGCAAGCCCCGAAGCATATTAAGCCTCCTAATTTTCAAAATGCAGTTACAGTATTATTGTTACATATATGTATTGTTGTATTAAGTTTAGGTGTTGGATGCAAACACTTGCTTTGCATTGGTTATCCAATCCTTATCCGATATTGATACCACAGAATCCTATGTAGCTCGGGGCTTGTGTAGTGCTTAGCCCTGCTTAAACATGGTAGAAGTCGGTGATTTTTACATCACCGCTGCGAGATATAGGAAGATACATATGGCACAGATTGGCTATATTTGCTATCGTGGAAAAGAACCAATCTTAATGTGAAATGAAGACCGGACGGATGCTTGCCGGTTTGCGGTGACTCCGTCTGCATGTCGTCGATTAAGGACCGAATCTTGGAGCCTTTCCTGCTCATGTTGAACGATGCCTCTCTCTTAGTTGGCGGGTGCGGAGACCGACCACGAAGCCGAGTAGCTCACCTCGGTCCGGGAGTCGATAAGTATAAAGTGCGCCTCGGAAGGGAGCCGTGGCGTGAGTCCAAGGCGGTGATTTAAAAGTCCCGATCATCCCGGCGGAAGGGTAATCCCCGAGAGTCTTGGCGATCGAACCCAGCAATTTGGTTCCTAAGTTGTTCCAAAGGTGACCCACGGCTACCCTTGCTAAGTATGCCGGGTGAGAGTTAGGAATACCCCTCAAATGAGTTTAATTCGATTCAAGTCGCTGTCTCTCCCGGTTAGTGAGAACTTGACAGAGCTTATCTCCAATGTAGATAAACTAAATAACATAATGGTTCAGAAATGATGATATGATGATGACAGCCTTATTATACCTGCTATGGTTAATATTGTTTGCTCCTAATAAGTGAGTGCTCTAGTACAGGTGCTAATCTCGTGGACAGGTAAATGATGATAAGCTTATGCTAAGTTTAAATTAGTCACTATATTCATAAGCTCTTTTATGCAACTGTGTCAAGCTAGCCCACCTCATAAGCCTTACATGATCCTTGGTGTCTTTTATTTCTGGTTTTGATGGGTAAGTCTAGCTGAGTACCTTCTCGTACTCAGGGTTTATCTCCCACCTGTTGCAGATGACCAGTTCTACTTTGGTTGCTGCAAGTATTGCCTTCTCCCGACCGGGGATGAAGACTAGACCGTTGGGCGCGGTCTCTACTAGTTCTCGTACCTGATGATGCTTTTGTGGGACATGACTCAGACTTGGCAATGTATTTGAAACTATGAAGTTATGTACTAAACTATGTTGCTTCCACAAATTTGAACTTGGTTTGTAATATTTTATTTTGAACTCTGATGGATGTAATCCGAATGCTACTTGTGAAATGTTGTAACGAATGATGTGTTGTGTTGAATCACTACGGTCTTGGTTTGTATGTCGAGAGTTGGTTGAAATCTTCGTGATTTCCGGACTACCGGGATTATGGGAGCTTAAGTACAGAAATTTGATCGCTTCGGTGATTGTTTTTGTACTTACGTTCTTATGATTTGGTCGGTTCTGTTACACTCCAGGTCACACACCACTAGCTTGGTGGTTTGTAATTTGTGCTATGAGGGTTCTCTTGTAGTTGCGTCGTGTAATTCTCTCTGCTTAATGAAAAATGGGCTATATTCCCCTGTTGAGAAAAAAAAGGTCTGCCTGGCAGATCGGCTCAGGGTGTCTGCTTTGGCCGGTTCTGTGCTGGTGGGTCTTCTCGCTGGTATGGGCTGAGGTGGGCGCCCACATGCTGCTGTCAATGCCCTGCAGTTCGTCGACGCGTGGGGGCTTCATCGCTCTAGTGCAGTTTGGTGACCTGACCCACAGGGGCGGCCAGATCCGTGCTATCCATGAGTGTAGGGGTAGTGTGTGCTAACGCTGTCCCCTATGGCAACAGCTCCTAGGTTGTGGCCGGCAGCGACGCGGCGACGGTGGCTCCCGGCGGCTATGCGACATGGCGGAGTGGGAGGCGTGGTTGATGCGGGGCCGGCTCGGCATAGGTTGGGACATTGGTGGGCTGGGCGACTGGGTCTTCTTTGATCCTGGCACTCTTCTCCCCACCATCTGCCTTCCCCTTCCTCGGGTTGGCTTATGCGGTGGAGCTGGCCGGATCTGCTTGCTGCGGGTCGGCTTTGCCGGTTCCGGCGGGGATGGACTCTCCGACGGGTTTCTGCCGATGTTTTCTCCTAGCTGGCATCTCTAGGGGCGGCGGCCGGGCGGGACTCTTGCTGATCCATTACAGCACTCTACCTTCCTGGTAGGGTTCGGTCTCCGATGGTGATAGTGTGGAAATTAGTTGAGGTCGGAACAAAATCTTGGACGAGACGTCGTTCCCTTCTTGGAGGCATCCTTTTCCTACCTCTCCTACTATCGTACTGGATGTTACAGGTGAAAACCTTTCTTTAGCGGGCTACTTTGTTGGCGCTTTTAGCGTCGTTTCCTCTTTGGAGGCATTGCTGGGCTTTCTAGTTTCCGCGGTTGCTCCTTGCCGTCTGGCCATGGTGGTACCTCAAGGTGTCACCCGGCAAGTCGTCATGTTTTCTTTCTGTCGTTGTTATTAGTTAGTTGAGTTGTTTAGTTGGGTCGATTCGACAAAGTTGGATTAAGTAGTAGCGTGAGTTTGGATGTTTGGTCCGTTGTTGTACCAAAATTGTGTAGGATGAGTAAAACACTCTCCTCAGTTGTATGGTTTTTTTTGTTCAGTTTCTATAAAAAAACTGAATGGGCACTTACCTTTTTTTCTTTTTACGTCTATTAGAAATCGCGGCAAAGCTTCTGTCATCCTTTCTATAAGAAAAACACACACATAGACATAGAAGAGACTCTGTTGGGGGCAGTGGCCATAGCCGGCGACGGCTAACACATCTCTTCCATTCGCCCCGATACCCTTCACACTGTTGTTGTGCCTCTTCTCGCTGGGCCTCGCCACCACCCGGGGCACACCCAATTTGCATTGGCTCGGGCCCGGCCACGTGTAGCACCTCAGCACACCAACCGGCCTGCCCGTCTTCTCTTCAACGTTGAGCCCCTTGATTGTTCCCCACCCTAGCCTTAACCTACCCTGTGCCCTTCGCTGCCACGGGAGACTAATCCTTGTCACCTCTCAGTTGCATCGACATGCCATGGCAAAACGCGATGCGGCGCGAAGAGATTGTAGTGACGTCAGTGGGCGCAGAGGATCAATGGCCAGCAAGTTAATTGGTGGTGGCGCGGTGACATGTGAGTACAAGGGAGAAGACAGGAGCAAAGAGACAAAGAAAAATGGGCCAAGGGCAAAAAAAATGATATTTCATCACATTTCTCCCTCCTAGGCTAAAATTCATATTCGGAGTGTCCATCAGCCAGTTGGACATTTCTCGTGTCCGTTGGCATTGCGACTTCACTCACGTATCCATGGTTACAATCCGTATTCATATTCATTAATGAAAGTTAAGTAATGGGCGTGGAGACATGTTCTCCTCAAGCATTGTAACTATCAGCCTGTTCGTTTCGGCTGAAACGATCGTGGATTATAAGGCAGAAGTACTGCTGGCTGGTTTGATGTAAGAGAAAAATATTGTTCCCTAAAACGAATAGGCTGTATATTTAAATATTTGTTTTCATATAATTCTTTAGTTAAATGTTTCTATACATAATTTATATTTTCTATAACTGCTAAATGAAATAGCTCTCGCTATAGCTATTTGGAAGAGGATGCTAATGTCTTAGCCCACTATTTAATAAAAAAAAAGAATAAACCCAGTGCAGAGAGCTCCCGCTCTATGCGGAGTCTAGAAAATGGTGTTAGTGGCAAGCCTTATCCTGGCATGTGCAATACGAGGAGATCACGACTCAAACCCGGGACCTTCCGGTCACAGGCGGTAAGACTCGACCGCACTATTTAATACCTTGGTACTAATATAACGCGAGCCAGTGAGGCCTTATTGGAAAAATCTGATTACCATATGCAGAATCGGAAATAAATAGAAATTGAATACGTGTTAATTAAGATTGTTTTATCATTTATGTACCCTAATCATAAGGCAGTTCCTGAAATCTGTTATGCGAGGTCTAGGGAAGTAGAGAGTTACTACCTCCGTTTTCGTTTACTTGTCACCGAATTTTTACTGTAGCAATTTTGACCATATGTTTTTTTCTGCAAAAGATTTTTAGATAGATCAAGTTTTTACATATATGATTCTTTATTGAACATACTTCATTAGTGTTATATACATTGAACTATCTAAGATTTTTTTAGAAGAAAAAACACATGATCAAATTTGCTACAGTAAAAAGTTGCTGACAAGTAAACCCAAATGGAGGGAAGTCCTGAAGAATACATAACACGTCACGACGAGATGATTAATGATTCTGAGCACTTTACAATCTAGAGTTGGTACATCGCTTTCTGCCTGGTGTTGCATACAGATAGCAATTTTTTTAGCAATAAATATTGTGAATTGGTATGCTTTATGGTTGCAATTGTTTAACATGTATCTAGAGGCGTATAGGAACACATGAACAAATGTAGGCCTCGCATAAACAGAAAACATGTTTATACAAAGGTTCAGAAACAAACTGAGATTGTTTTGCACCCAACAAACGGAGGTTTTTTTTTTGCAACTATTATGTAATCAAACTGAGTGACAGAAACCATGAATCTTTTTTTTTACATCAAAACCAATGTGGTCATAATTGTTCAAAAATACAAACCCCAACTCTTCATACTTGTGTAACATCAAACTTTCTTCATGAATTAAATATATCTGCACTTCTGCAGAATCCATTGCCCCTCTCACCATCCATTTGTCTTACGTATCATTTGTTTCCACCATCAGTTACAAGGCTGCTGACTATATGGCGGATCAACAATTTTCTTCACTATCATCCACCTCAGGAGGGCCAGAATGCCTCCTCATCGGTGGGGGAGATGCCATTCCAGATTGGAAGGATAACCTCTTCTTCGCGGGTCCAGCAGAGCCTCCTTTTTCTGGTGTCTCTGCACCATTCTTTAATGCCGAGCCATGGAGGCGGGACTTAGCCCTTGCAGATTCTGTGGGAACCATGTAGCTTGGGACAGATGGGGAGCCTGCAACACTCTCACTGTCCCGCACCGTTGAGGTGGCTATGCTGTGCCTCCTTTGCCGTTCAGACTGAACGCTTAACACACTCCTTGCATCATCATCCACCTGCGTACGGCCATTCTTTGGCATGGTGGATTTCTTCCTCACAAGGATTGGTGTTACTTTAGGAGAAGGTGTTGATGGGGACTGCCTGGAGGCTGGACGGATCAGTTTTGGAGTAGTTAGTGCTGGCTTGTCTGGCTTAGACACTACGCCAGATTTTTACAGCAGGAACGGGACATTTTTACTATAGGGGCGGCTGGAGTTGGGGGCACCCCTACAGTGGCCGTCCTCGGGCCCCCGCAGTTCAGCCGCCCCTACAGATGTCACTGTAGGGGCGGCTGGTAACCTGAGCCGCCCCTACAGTTAGGGCTGATCTGTAGGGGCGGCTCAATCACCAGCCGCCCCTGCAGCAGATGTCACTGTAGGGACGGCTGGTAACGTGAGCCGCCCCTACAGTCAGGGCTGATCTGTAGGGGCGGCTCAATCACCAGCCGCCCCTGCAGTTCTGACTGTAAGGGCGGCTGAATCACCAGCCGCCCCTACTGATGACGCACGAATAAATAGCAGCCACCCTCTTCTTCCACCTCGGGACACACTCTTCTACACACAAAAAATAGGTTGGGAGGTCTTGGGCTCCTCCTAAAAATTGCTCTACTAAGGGGGGAGGTTTTGATCTCAAATCCTTTGGTGGAAAGGCTCTAAAAGGTAAGGAAATACGTCTCCAACTCTTTATTTAAGTTTAATTCGTTGGTTAGTGAGTAATTTGATTTTAGGTTTTCTCTCTCTTCCATGGAGCTTGAGATGGTTATGAGTGAAATTAGACCCTAATTTTCACTATACTAGGATAAATTAGGTAGGAAAGTAAAATTGCACCCTTTATTAGTACATCTTTGTTGATTTTAGTGTAGTATTAGTGAAGTTTGATGCATGTGTCATGAAACCCTATATCTAGATCTAGGATTTTTTTTTCTTTTTCAATTTTTTCTTTATGTGACTAGGGTTTGCATGTAGGTGAATGTGTAAGATTTTAATTGTTGCTAATGTGTAAAATATCCTCTACCATGGCTACTAATTATCATTTAATATTTATTTTGATTCATTTCTATAATGTGTGTTTTTAATTAGTTATGGACAAATAGGCCATTAATTAATTATCCTCTACCATGAAATTGGAATGGAGTTTGCATGAAAGGTAGTGGATGAAATATTAAATGTTGCTAATTGTTTTATTTGAAATTGTTTATTTGAACCAATTAATTTATATTTTAAAATATTTATGCATTAATAGTCAATTAATTAACTATTCTCTACTACCATGGTGCGTGTCTCGGTATATACAATTATTCTCGAGTAATATTCTTTCTTTGGTTATTTTGTTTCTATAAGATGGACTACAGAGGAACTCTTGGATGTATGGTTCGTTAAGACACGGCGCTCTTTTTCCGTGATGAGGTGGACAAATTCATCAAAGCCGCAGAGAAGCATCTGGCGACATTGAAAGAGAATAGCGACACGATTATTTGTCCCCTGCAAAGATTGCAAGAACCTTATTGCATTTCGAGATGTGAGTACCATCGAAGAACATCTTATTAGAAGAGGATTTGTTCCGGACTACGGTGTGGATTCATCATGGTGAAACAAAGGTTGTTGATGACAAATGACGATGATCTAGGCGATGAAGTGAAACCCAAGCATACTTGTCCCGATTCACGAGACGATCTTGAGCAACAAATGGATCGTGACTATGGTAATCAACAAGGTGGTGGCTTTGGCAATCAACAAGGTGGTGGCTTTGGCAATGAACAAGGTGGTGATGATCTTTGGTGGTGCCGGCAATGATGGTGAAGCACGCGTGAGGGGATGCGGATGACGGTGACAACTTAGACGAAATGCTTGGGGCCTTTGGACCGAGAAATATTAGAAAAGAGCAAGAGAGGTCTAGAAAATCTTGAGAGGGTGACAAAAAGCATCGAAGAAGACTGTGTATGATGTCTTTGAGAAGGGTTGTCCGACATACTTCACATCTTTGCTTTTTTGTGCTTGAGCTACTCATCCCAAGGCTAAAATGCAATTTGGTCGGATGAATTTGCAGTTTCGATGATCTGTTGTGCCTCATGTCACGGTTGCTCCCACTGCCAAACACAGTTCCTGCCAACACATACCAAGCGAAGAAGGTTATAAGTCCACTCACATTGGGGTTGAAAAATCCATGCATGCCCCAACCATCGTATCCTTTTTCGACGTGGCACATCGTTCGAGACTTTAGATACATGTCCTAGGTGTGGGGCTAGTCGGTAGAAAGAACAATGACCTTCAAAGTGGGGTGGAAGCCTCCACAGGAAAGAGGAAGAAGGGTGGGAAGAAGGTGGTGCAAGAATCTCAGCCCCCAGAGGAAACTCCATTAGGCAACGATACAAATAAGAGAAGAATTCCTGCCTTGGTTATGTGGTACTTGCCAGTGATCGACCGCTTAAGGCGTATGTTCCTAAACCCTAAGGAAGCCGCACTGATGACATGGTGGAATGATGAGCGCAAGGTGGATGATGATACGATCGCACACCCGGCCGATTGTAGCCAAGTGTAGCGTTCGATGCCAAGTACAAAGCGTAATTCGATGATGACCCACGGAATGTACGGTTTGGCTTGAGCACCGATGGAATGAATCCCTTCAATGAGAGGATGACCGACCACAGCACATGGCCAGTCATCTTGACCATGTACAACCTCCCAACGTATTTGTGTCAGAAGAGGAAGTACCTTCTCCTCACCATTCTTATCTCCGGCCCCAAACAACCAGGCATTGATATAGACGTGTTCTTGGAGCCTCTGATGCAAGAAATGGAGAGGCTATGGAGGTATGGGGAGCCGATGTACGATGCGTTCCGGCGAGAGGACTTCATATGCAAAGCAATAATATTTGTTACTACCAATGATTACCCCGCGCTGTTTGCCCTATCTGGACAGTTCAAAGGCAAGACTGGATGCTTAGTCTGCTTGGATGGTACTAAATGGGTGTTCCTAGATGGATCCGGAAGATAGTTTACATAAGGAACCGACTTCTTAAAGACAGTCACAAGTACCATGGCAAATTATACCTAAGATACTATGGCAACATCCGGAGGATGAACCCCTCGGAGAGAGCGTCATAATGGAGAACATGTGTTCGAATGGTCCAAAACATACACGCTCGTCTATGGAAAGAAGAATCCGGATGGAACGATTAGAGATAGAAGCACACCTCCCATCGAAGGTGTACCATTCAAGAAGCAATCGATCTTGTTTCAGTACCTGCCTTATTGGCCAGACTTGGAGGTCCCCCATGCCATTGATGCGATGCATGTGCAGAAGAATGTCTTTGAGAGTCTCATGGCTACCTTGATGGAAACGGGCAAGTCAAAGGATGGTCTCAGATCACGGAAAGACATGGTGCAGCTGAACGTGATGCGGGAGCTTTGGCCGTCTGAGCAGGATAATGGCAAGTACAGATCTTCCCGCGGCTAGCTTCAACCTAACCCTAGAAGAGAGGAGAGCTATATGCAATTTCCTTAGGGGGGTCAGAGTGCCGACTGGGTTTTCGGCGAACCCAAAGAAGCTAGTGTAACACCCCGGGTGTTTTAAATACTAAAACTGTCATGTCATCATATGCATTGCAAAGCATTTGGTCATATTGCAAACTTTGATATGCATTCACTAAAACAAGTTTACATTCATGTACAAGTGTTGAATTGTAGTGTTTGAATCAAGTTTGAAATACATATTGATTTGAAATTCAAAACCCTAATTTCAGATTTAAATTCTACCTCAAAACTCATTTAAAAATCTAAGCATATTTTGGGGTTGAGCTTAAAAGCAAAAGTGTAGATCTTGTCAAGTTGTACAAAGTTGGTTTTGGAGTTTTCAAAGTTGTTTAGTAAAATTTGAAGTAATTTGAAAAGGCATAATTCTTTAAAAGTGTCCCTTTTGAATTTAAATTTGAATTTCAAAATGTAGAATGAATTTGGATATGGTTTCAAAAGCAAAGTTGTAGAACTTTTGATTTTGAACAACTTTTTTTTTTGGAGATTTTTGAGTTGTTATGAAAATTTGAGAGTAATTTGTGAATTTTGGGCGAATGGCATTTCGTAATTTGTGTGAACAGTGTTCACCGCTCTTGCTACATTGCGGCGTTTCTTTCTTCGGCGTTCGAGCCGTGTCGTCGTGCCGTTTTAGGCGTCATATTTGGCGCTGCATGAAGGCCACAAACAGCAGCTTCCTTGAGCTTCTGGCCATCCTTTATAGCTCTGAGTCGTAAATGCCGCTTCTTCATTTTCCGTTGCTTCGTTTTCTTCCGTCACCTTGCTCATCTCCGGCGAGCCGTGCCGTCGCCGTCGTGCTCGCCATCGCCGATAAGCTAGCTCCAGCTCCGCCTACTCCTTGCGCGTCTAGCTATCCCTCAATTTAGTCTGATTTCACCGGAGGCGCGCGCAACGTACTTTTTTCTTCGCGGTCGGCAACAACTTCGGTGATCCCGTTTCACCGTGGTCGTGGCCCTCCGGTGAGCCGTTGCTTCGATTAGCGTAGCTCGGCTTCGTCTCGATCTTTGTGATGCTTAATCCGTTGTTGCTTGCTCATTTTGATCACCACGATACCGCGCACACCATCACCGAGCGATCCTTGCTCCGCCGCCGTTGTTCTTTGTGTCGTCGACCCACGTCTACGCCTTCTCCCAATTTTGCTCTCTGCTCCGTCGTGTTTGTGGTGAGCTGCTGGTGCTTCTGTACTGTTTATTTGATCGTTGCCGGTCTCCCTGCCGCCAGGCGTAAGCTGCTGCGTGCATCGCTGCGTCGCCATGGTCGGTGTAATGCTCGGTTCGGTCCGTAATTGGTCGCGTTAGTGCCATAGATCGATGCGTTGTGACGTAGTGATCATGTTAGTACCCTTGCTGCCTCTCTCGTGATCTCACCGTCGGCGAGTTTATGCGGTCAGCGCCGTCGTTGTCGTAGTCAAAGGACGGAGGTTAGGGATGACATGTGGGGTCGGGTTGTCGATGACTCAAATATTTCAAATGGATTTTCTATTTTCCGGAATGAATGAATAGTGTCTGCTTT